CACTTTGGTCCCAGTCCAGCAAGCTCAAGTATCTGCCTAGCAGCATGCACATGAATAACTCTGCTGCACTAAACTGCTACTATAGCTAAATAGAGGAGCCACAAGGTCCTGATATCATAGATGACAACTCTTCTTTACATTCTCGTTGAAATGCTGGCATTACATAACTCTCTGGATTTTCATACACCACCATTCATAAAAATTAGTCTATAGCCTGCTGTATTCAAGTGTGGGAGGACTACAAAATGGGCAAACGGATTTTTTTCTTCTTACCAGTTTCTTCCAGGAGCTTGAAAGACTTATTAGAATTTGGAGAGAGAGCTACAGCAGATATAGCTTCCCTCTCTCCACTAGCTGCATACAGAGTAGCACATGCTGTACATTGCCCATCTGGGAGATACTGCCAAGCCCTTTCCCACCTCTATTGAGCTCTGCAGAAAGGGTGAATGCAAAGCTTGTCAGTGTCTGTACTGGTTAGCAGAGTGAGGCTGGTGCAGTCAGAAATGCTTATGCTGCACTCAGAAATGTGACATTTAGGCTGCTGCAGCACACTCTCCAAAAAAGTTCTGTCTGACCGTGTCAGGACTCTTCTCCATGGCAGCATGACTTCATTTCTATCTCTTCTCCTCATGCAATTTATGCTGTTAACATCAGGAGCACTTTAAAATCCATGTCAGGCTTAGCTTTAATGACATCTGTACAGACTGTCATCACATGAATTGTACTTTGTGATACACCTTATTATTCTTAATATTTCGTCAACATTTTATGTGAATCATGATGAATGTGGGCTACTGCATTATCCCTTTTTCTGTGAATATCATGAAGCTGCTCCCTTCAATCATTATTGTTACCATCTATGTTATTTGCTTTCTTACTATCTATCCATCCATGTATAATATGACACATTTCCATCTGCAATCTCAATACGAAAACGTGAAGAGCTTTAAAAATTTCATGCGTCTCTAGAGCACTGAAGGTTACTTTTTACCTAAAACAATGTTCAGATGGCTGTCATGGGGAAAGTTAAAGTGAAATGTCAAAAGCTGTAAGGATGAAAAGCTGCACATGGCAGATACAAGATTCAGCGCATGGTAACTCCCTCTTAATAAACAAGCAAAGATCTATTGGAAGGAAAATTTCCTTGCATTTGAAATTTAACTGCCAACCATCCACATCCTACACGTAACTGTCATAAAGGATGTCTAAATCTGTCCTCGTTTATAACATGTGTTGTGACAAGATTTGACAGACTCTGAAAGAGCTATAATTGCTACCTAAACATCCAGCATTTTGTCAACTGCGATCATGTTTAGGGAAAGCATTTATTTCGCTTAAAAAAAAAAAAAAACACAGCATTTTTTTCTTTCTGAATGAGATGACAGATTTGTTTTTCTTTTCTCATTAGAGGTTGCAAGTCAGATTTAAGGATTTTTTTTTTGTTTTGTTTTGTTTTGTTTTGTTACTCCTTTGTGCTTGTCACTAATTTTCCAGTGACAGAAGTTGAAACTTTTCAGATTAAAAGAATAATGATTAGCAGGTGGAAACCAACAGCAATCGAACAGAAATTCTGTGAGCACATCTACAAAGATATTGACACCACTGAAAAGTCTTGAACATCAAGCTGGTTTTGAAAGACATGCTTCTGAATATCACAACAGGAACCAAGGTGAAAATGAGGAGCAAATATCCCAGTATTTGCTGATTTTGTTACTCTCAATAAGTGTAACAATGTCAACTTCGTCCTCTGCCTATAGGCCTTCTAACGCACATGCAAACATTGGTGCAGGATGGAGACAAGAGCTGTTGCTCTAAGAGCAAGGGAAGCTTTGGATGAGGGAAATAAGATGCCTCTGGACTTCAACAGCCTCCACAGTTCAGATTGCAACTAAAGCAGAACTCCTCATTCCCTGGGTGGTTCAGGAGCATCCTAAACCTCATCAGGCCAAAGAGTTCACCTTAATTGCTTTCTTGAAATACTAATTATTAAAAGTCACCACTACTACATCAGAAGCATTGTTTTCATCTCTCTGGCAGCATTCACGGTACTTCTGTGTTTATTTACCACAAACAATCCAGCAATCAAATCTGATTCACAGGAATGCTCACAAGTAGTAAGCAGCAAGCTGTGCTTTGGAGAGCTTTTATGCCAGAATTGGCACTTTTTCCACATGCAATTGGTGTCACAGTGACACTATAGCAAGAAAGCATACAAAGGGATATCCTCAGACCCTAGATCTAAACTTGCATGCCTGGCCTCCCCTTGCCATGTGTGCCAGTGCTTAGAAATGCATACCCAAGGCTTGACTGTGCTGTGCTGAGATGGGGCTGTACGGATGCTCAGGGCAAGCTCTGTCTCTGTTGGCTGGAGGGGTCAGCAAATACACGGAACCTTCCTCCTCTCTGGTGCTTGAATTGGAGTGTGCTAGGAAACCAAAATACAAAGAATTGCTGCTTTGTTCTTGTTTTCACACTTGTCTCAGTTTATAAGTAGTTTGCTCCAAAATGTATGCCTCCTAATTATTTCCAGAGAAACTATAACAGACACAAAGAGAACTATAACATAAATTTAACTGCAAATTCTTAGCTATAAAACATCATTTTTCACCATAGTCACTACCTTTAATTGTGCATTTTAAACAGCTTTGAATAAGGGCCTGCATGCTGCTCTCATAAAAATCTGCACCAGCAGAGGTGACTCACTGTCATTGTCTCCACAGCACACCTCTATGTACTGCCTCAGTGAGCACATATCCGCAGTTTGGTCTCCATAAAAATTCAGCAAACATCAATGAATGTCAATGGGTGCCATTTTTTCTGCCTGGAGGGATTCAATGACACACCTTTGCTTCGTATGCACTCCCCACGTCAGATGCCCTGCTGTCAGACTGCCCCTCTGCTGCCATCTATCACATAACAACAACATGCAGAGGAGTATTGGTGGGAAGGTTTAATCTCTATTGTCATACCACCAACATCTGCCTCTAATATCATAGTGCAATATTATAAAACATGAGGCATTATTTCCTGAGCAGTGCTTGTATATTCCTTATTAATTAAATTTTTTTCTACATTCTTGTTCCTGTGTCGCAGACAGTGAAGCATAACTGAATTCCGCCCTTAGGTGGCTGAAGTGCTCAGTGGAAACTGGAAGAGATAACTTCGGCAATACAGGACCAATGAACATGCTGACAATGTGCTCAGATATCCAGCAGCTTCAGGTGTGTGTAACTGGAGACAGAAGAATGCTTCAGTTATTTGCCAACTAGTAACACCTTCCAGAAGAACAGTGGGTTCATTATCTGGCTATTGAGCTGTGCTATGCAGTTTATAATCATCCTGAATGACCTAAAAAATGAACCTGGTAAAGTGAAACACTAGCCTAAGAGGAGGAGTGAAAGAGCTTTGGATGGGAGTGAGAACAAGGAGCTTAGAACATATACAGAAATGTTGAAATTCTGGGAATGGGGGTTGGGAGCTCTCTACAGGGCAGCGAACAGAAGGAGGCAGAAGAGTTCAGGAAATCTTTAGAAAAGATGGGAATAGAAAATGGCACACTGAGACCTTAAGAGGATGCAAAGAGTCCCTGATAAATGCTCAGCACCTACTGCAACTAGAAAGGGACCAACAGAGCCCTTTTCATCTTAGGATTCAATAATTCAGATTTTATGATCATAAGTACTGTCCGTAAGTATATACAAGGAGAAGTGATAAAAAATATTTTCTGTATTCTAAACAGGCTTCTGTAGAAGAGAAGGAAAGAATATTTCTGCTCTTTACTGGTAAACAACAGTTTTAAAATGACATTGAGTTCCCCTGTAATGGGAAAGAAATCTGGGAGATGACAGTCTGCAGGAGGACTTCTTGTGAGGTTCTTTCTGAGAGTAACTCTCAGGTGGCTCTGCTGGAGCATGCCGTTAATATCCTAAATCATACTTCCAGCCCTTCCAGGTACTTTGGCATTTTTCCTGGGATACCTGTGTCTGGCGAGCTGAGTACAGAGAAAGTGAAAGTCTTCGGTGTGTAAAACTCTGGAGCCGGGTCAAGGGGCACTGTTAAAAGAAACTCTGCCTGTCCTAAAATAATATCCTAACAGCTCCTAAATAAAAGCTTTTGAACTGGTAATGGGAACTTCCATCAAAAGAAGCCTTACAAAAAAAATACACGGAAAATTCCATTCCTTACTCCAGGGAAGATTTAATGGCTACAGCCTTCACAGTGACAAGGTAACTGTGTTCCAATACTGATGTTTATGTTCTTTTTATTCCACTGTAAGAGACTTCAGTAATCACTATTTGCATTTAGCTTTCTGGATCAGAAACGCTTTATGGCATTTCTTTGGAGTGTACCTTTTTCCTCACACCGAACAGCAAGCTTTTGGTTTTAAGAATAAGAGTAAAATAGCTGTTTTTATGTTTAAATGGATGGAGTAGTGTGGCTCTGAATGCTAATCAGCTGCAGGTAAAGAAAGTTTGCTAAATGTGAGAGCTGGAGCTAAAAATAACCAGCTGACCTGCCTCCATCACTGCAACCTTGCAGAACTTGTTTCTCCTTGTGTGATGGAAGAACAGGTGATATAGTCACGTACTCTAAGGCAGAAAGAGGTCATTTTACTTATTTGGAAATTGGTTTGACACTAGGACATATTTATGTACCTCATGTGGGAAACCTGCTTTGTGAAACAGCCTTTGCTCATAAAGATCATTCAAATGTAAGAGTCAGGAATTCTCCAATTGTCTTTGTAGCAAAACACCACTGTGTTGTTAGATGTGCTTAGCATTTCTGTATGTTGCTATGGTACAAAGATGCTAACATTAAGCAAAATGGTGGCAGCAGGCTAATGGCCATCAGAGCAGCACCCAGGCCTTGACACAACTGTCTGCTAGGAGGTCCATGGGAAAGCGTTCTGACAGTTGTCAGCAGCCTCAGCTAAATGGCCCTGCAAGAAAGCTTCTTCATGCAAGAGAAAAGCTGACCTTGATGGAAAGGAAAATAGAAAGACTTGCTCTCCAACACTCACAAAGACGTGGCAGAAAAGTAAAAGAATTAGCATATATATATAAAAGACACATTGATAAGATTTTCAGATTCAAACACGTATATTAGAATGAGCCAGTAATAGATTAACAAAGAAGAAAGTACATTTAAACATGAAAAAGCCTATCTGAACTCCCTACATTCCTCAAGTATGTTTGCCCCAGATTCAGTCCCTCATTATAGGATGACCTAGCTGGTATTTTCAGAAGTTTTACCTTCTGTTTACCAATTCTACTGTAGGGAACACAGCTGCAGTTATTCATTCCTATATACAAAAATGACTAAGAAATCAGTTGTACAAGTGCATGGCAACAGATTTGTGTTTAATTCTTCTCTGGACTTGATCTCTGAGGTGGAAGTGTACATGTCATTGAAACAGTGTTATGGACACAGAAGTACAGTTTGTCTTTATCACATGTTCAGGTCTTTACATAAAAATTAATATATTTGGAAGTGAACATTTTCATACCATTTGTCAACAAAATGAAGTAGAATACAGATTCTTTTCCATAAAATAGGTGCCGGATTTTAGGAAGTCAAAAACACGATCTTGAAAACAGTTTCAAAAACCTCAATGTTCTTAAGTTAAATCATATGTATCTTGCCATTGCTGGGAGAAGTCTTGCATTAGTGTTGCTCTCAGAAACCTCTAAATACGGTTACACAACCTCCCACCTAATCGACAGCTTACTAAACCCTCCACCTAGCGTGGACTTGTCTAGTGGAAGCTTTACTCTGATGCCTTGCAGGAGGGCCTGTGCAGTAAAATGTGTGACTGCAGCCTACAAGAGGCCATCGCCATACACCCATCAGAAACACCTCAAAAGCACCGTCTGACTGCATAGTGACTGCATGTTGAACTTCTGGAAACTTTCAGCAAATTCTGTGCGTTCTCAGTTTACGAAGCATAACCTCTACAGCTTAGCTCCTTCTATACTGCCACCACTCCATTTACATACTAATTCCTTCTCTTCATGAAGACAGAACACAATTAGTTTTCCAGTTGTAACACGATCCACCCACCGGGTTACATAAAGCGAGAAAGAGGTGATGGTAAAGCAATGTAAATAATCGCACACTGTTTTAAGTTGAAAAATTGAAACTCAAACTGTGCTTTGAAGGATGAATTTAAAAAAAAAAAAAAAAACCAACAAACATGTAAATTAAACAGAAAACAGAGCTGACCATAGATATAAGAATATCATCTTCTAGCTGTACTTTTGACTTCAGCATGTTTCTATAGGAAACACAGAAATATACAGAAAATATATAGAAAAATCCCAGGTCCCATTTTCATAATGTTTTGGATTCAGTCAGGTAAAATCTTAAAACTCTTTCAGGTATTTAATATTCCACATATCAAACATTATAGAGAATATTAATTATAGATACAACTAATTAAGCCTGTCATCATCAGTGTGTCCTCTGCAAAAGCACAAACACACTTTATTTAGATCAGAAAGAGATAGACTGTCCAGGCACATTTGTGAAGAGGAGGTCCTCCTCCCTGTCCTTCAGGTAGACACACATTTCACAGAGGCATCTTCCTTACATTTTAAGCCACATAATTCTTGTTCAGACACAAGCACACATGGAGAACAATGCATTTCTTTCTTTTATGTGAGTCTTCTACATCTTCATCAAGTTCAGCATCGTGATTTCTGAACTTCCCTATTCTTTGCAGGTTTTAATAATTCGCACATAGGAGGCCTTGATCCAGTTTAGTGAAGAATTATATTCACTAGAAGTCAAACATCTTGAACAGAGAGACTGTGAAATCCCTAAAAGAAAAAAAAATCCCCTGTAAATAGAAATCCCTCTTCATCTTTCTCTAGATATTCACCTGCTTCACATAAAACTGCACCTTTTGATTAAATATTACAGGCTTATTTAGCATTTCCTTACTCTTCCAAAGATTAAGGATTAAAGCTACAAGCATTTTCATTTCAAAATTATAAGGGCAAATGACAACCCTGACCTCTCAGTGAGCATGCCCTGTTCTCCTTGATCCAGTCAGACTCCACAGTGATTTCCTCTTGCCAAAGACATTTGAGATTTCTTGGAAGGAATCTGGTACACAGATCTGTTAAAGTGTGAACTCTCTGAGGAAAGAAATAACATAATTCCCAGACTCTCACTGGAGCTTCCTGCAAATGTTAAAGAGATTTAATGTAAGAAAATAAGGTGGAGGAGACATTGTGGTTCAATTTTTAAATTATTTGGAAGAGAAAAGTACCTGCCTTTGGAAGTTCCAGGGTCAGATATGATAGTGTTTCTCACACGATGTGGAGCTTCACATGCTTTGAATTATTTCTGTGAAGAGAAACATTTTTAAAATGCTGCAAACATGCAATCTGATGACTAATTGGTCATGCAACACAGCACAGCTCTTCCGTAGTTCATCTTCATCAGTAATATTAATCACTGCAGAAAGATACATTAAGGATGACCGGATGTTAAAACAAAGAATGCAAAATAATGAACCAGAGCAGCATCTGATAATCTGTGGAACTTTCCAATTTATGATTCTGAGAGTGGGTTTCTGCATCAACTTTACGCAAGTCTGTTTCCCCTTTAATCAGTCTCTGATCATGGTGATGTTTACTTTGCATTAATTTTATCTGCCTTTGGAAGTAATGTAACTCCAATAAGAGCCAATTAGTTTTGCACCATCAAGAAGGACAATGAATTGTGACTTAGTAAAACAAAGACAAAATTAACCATTTGCCTAAATGATGCCATTCATTGTTGTTTTCTCATAAGACTTGTTCTGTTATGTTCAGCTCTGTGAACAAGATAGCTCAGGATATGCAAGTTTACCTAAAGTAAAGCACGTTCTGAAACAAACACTACACTTGTGTAGCACCAGTGTCCAGTAATTCCATGCTCATTTTCCACAAGCCATTGGATCTATGTACAGATTGTGTTTCATGCACATGAATAAGTGATGCAGTGAAAAATAAACCAGCATTTCAGTTCTTGTGGCGAAAGCTTTTTATCTAAGAAATCAGTTTGCTTGGAGATGCTTTTTCTACACAAGTGTAACACTGCCTTTTGCAGAGGAGTAACTCAAATTGCATGCTGGAATGAAGCAAACCTGAACCAATGGACAGAAAATTTTCAGACATTTTTGTATTTTGTTTATGGAGGATCCTAGTACGCAAGCATCTTCTCAGAATTATAACCATAGCTGTAATACAGGTAAGATGTTATTCATATTTTCAGGAAAAGGACAATGCATTTGAGAGGCTAATTTAGGGCAGTGTCATATTTACAAGCTGCACCGGGGGAGGGATACTGCAAAACATAGAATTCCTAGCAAGTTATGGGAATATGTTTCAATGGTTTTTTAATACAGGAAATGGAGAAGACAGTTGAAGGAAAATTCTTCCAAATGTCATTAGGACTAATAAGAATACTAAGATTTAAGTCCTTGTTAAATTGGATGGAAAAGATGAAATTGAAGAGTTCTTATTCCCTAGAAGTGAAGAATGGAAACTAACAACAATGCATATCTCCCCATATACACAGAGATGTGGCTGATAAAATCATAGTGACCTAAGGAAATGTAAAGAAAGAAAGAAAGATCAGACTGAAGATTAAATATAGGTAAGCATCTAAGGAAAAAGAAAAAAATTAAAACGAATTCTTCCTCAGATAAATTATATTAAACCCAAATATAACCACACATACACGTTACCCCAAAGCAGAGGAAATACGATGAAGGAAGAAAGCATAGTAAAATCATCAAAATCATCAAAATCATGAATTCTTTGATAAATTAAAAAATCTCGGGGGTATAATATGTAACAAAGGGAGAAAGTGGAAATCAGGTTTCTTTGTAATTATCTAATATTAAAGTGCATGGATACACAAGGCAGAAACTAGGAACATAAAATACAGACAAATAAAAAAAGAAAGCAAAGGTTACAAGAACTAATTTTATAAGCAGCAATAAGACGATGAGCAAACACCACAGTATTATTATGGTGAGAAGTTGAAAGTGCTTAAAGCCTTTTTTAATTAAATGTTTTTACTAAAACAACTAACTGATAGAGGCCTAGACATTAATACCACCAGCAGAGCAATACGTTTCTATTTCAAAGAATGAAGAGAACTGATACTTTAATGCAAAAAAATTCAGATTAGCTCAATCAGATGAACTTCATCATCAAATACATAAAGACCTGATCAACATAACTGCAGAATTAAACATGTATATTTAGAAATGCATGAAAAATAGCATACTTCCTGGGAGACTGGAAAAAGTGTACATGATATCTACGTTTAAAAAATAGTAATGGAAAAGGCTGATAAACTCTAGAACTTAACCTCACTGCTCAGAATAATTATGAAATAAAGTGGAAGAGTAAACTCTAGATCCAGAACTGTACTTTTAAAACCACACAAAAATCCAGAACAAAAATCCCCACAAAATTATCTATAACTGAAGATTTTATAAACAACTGACATCAAACCAATCTGTTTTCCTTTATAATAGGCATCACTGCTTTAATGGGAAAGGAAACCAGGTTCCTGAATCTTGAAGTAACAAAGTTACTGCTCAGTATAACTACACACTGCTCAGTATAACTTTATATGGAAACAGGGGAAGCCTGGCCCAGGTGGAACTGCCATAAACTGATGCAAACTGGGCAATATACCTAAAGATGTATTTTTCCCTGGGAAAAGAGATGTAAATGTAAAGATTCCTTTCTTTTGTTCTAGTCAATGTTTTGTGCAGCTTTGATGTTTGAATAGAGTTATATTGAGAGCTATTATACCTGAGGAAAAGACAGACTTAGAAGGAGTCTGAAGGGGAAGGTCATAATTCACGGACATTGACAAATTACTGAGCAAGTCTAGAAAAAAAAAAAAAGGGGGGGGGGGGGGGGGGGGAAAATACAATAGTGAAAGTGAAAATACGGTGCTTGGGTGAGAGAAGTACAAAATACACAAAGTTTAGGTAACACTACTTTGGGAGAAGAGCTAAGAGATATACACTATGAAAGGAATGAGTTAGCAGATTCACACTGCTATGAAAAGCCAAATATCACATTGAAATCAATTAACAACAGCAGAGGCTGAAGGAGAACTGGCACAACATTCCTACTCTGATAGATTGATTATATTATTTCCCCAGGATGCATATATTCCTCTTCATAATACTACCAGGTGCTCTGCTATAATGTTTGCTTATTTCAACAGAATAATTTCCCTGTAAATCTTTGCAACTGTGTTTTAAGGCTGAAATTGTCAGAAAGGCCTAAAAATTACCAGCTACTACTGAGCACAAAAATGTTTGAATGCTGATGATTATCAAGAAATGCCCAGAAGAAAAAAAGAATTGCTTTTGAAACATAATAAAAATATTTCAATAACTAATACTTGCTTTACAGCAGTTTTTTTTTTTCCTCAATTAATGCTGCTTGTGACATATTCTTTAACCAAATTCACAGTCCAATTTTCTCTATTGGGAATCTGTTTTTGCGTAAGAATAGCAACTATACATTCAATCAAGTTTTTTTTTTTTTTTTTTTTTTTTTTTTTTTTTTTACTTAAAGCTGATGTTTCCCTGATAAATCCCATTACTTCTCTCTTTATTTTCTGTATTCGTAACAAGAGTTTGGAAATGCCCAAGTCCATCATTGTTAGAAGAGCTGACGTCTCTAACATTCAGAACAAGTTATTTTCCAGAAAATATTTTGGAATTAAACTTCTTCATAATTTCCTTGGATTTTAACGTGTTAGAAACTCTCGTCTCTTCAAAGTTGTTCCAAGATCCTTAATAGCTTAAGCTGCTAAAGAAAATACAAAGTTCGCAACAATTATTAAATATAAGTAACTAATTCTCATTAGAAATAGTAGCTTAAAAAACACACACACACACAAATCCACAAAACTATCATGAGGTTTTGACATAAAATATTTTTATCTAATATGCAGATTAGTTCTACTGCAGTTCCTTATCTCCATAATATAGAGCAGAGGAGTCCACGCAATGGATGTCCTACACTAACAGCAGTCAACTGATTGGAAGATAACTGTTTCATTGCATAGTCACAGAATCACAGAATGACATGAGTTGGAAAGGACCCCAAAGATCACTGATCTCCATCCCCCCTGCCGCAGGAAGGGCCACTGACCTTCAGAACTCATACTAGACCAGGTTGCCCAGGGCCCCATCCAACCTGGTCTTGAACAATAGTCTTTCCATACTGAAGTTTCAGCAGATAAAGTTGCATCAGGTTATCAACTTCAGTATGTGTTCCAGAAGAAATACTGTTTTAATTGTTTGTTTTTCTAAATTTCCATCAGAAACATGGAGAATGAATCTGCTCAAAAAATGAAGTTTTTTATTAGTACATCTGGAAATCTATTTGAGGATGTGTACCTTGGGAGGAATCCTGCAGTACAGGAAAAGGTAAGTACAGAATAAGATGAGAGACCTGAGCTAACTTTACATATCATCTATTTCTGAGTATCAATGGCATACTCCTAACATGTGCTTATATAGCAGTGTGAAGTTAAGGACATCCTGTGTTAACATAATGACATGTGGGGGGAAATGCACAATAGAGGAAAAACAGAGTATTTAAAGTAACAAGGTAGTTATTAAAAAAATAATAACTTTTCTATGGAGATTCGTGCCTACTCTGAAAACAAAATTCACTCTGATTTTCATATGTTAGCGAATGTACTGCATCTTAAGTTGTTGAACCAGTAGAGTTTTGCACTGCTTTGATGAATCACAATAGTGATAGAAAAACAAAAATGTCATTAATGTTAATGCTTAGAATGGTTATAAACTGCAACTGGGGTGCTTCAAAGTGAGACTGCATCAAACTAACATAATTTTGGGTCCCCTATTGTCTTCATAGTGCACAGAAATCTAGCCTATGATAAACCACTTTGCATCCATGCTTTCCGACATGAGCAGAAAGCTTAAAGGATATTATTATGTAGTCACATGCCTGCCAAAACTGAAGAGACAGCACTTCGAACTTGCATTCAGTGGTCTGAATTCACCCATAGTCTTTCTTAGAGCATATCTTCTGGAGGAAAAAGATGAGATGACAATGCATGACCTGTGTGAGAGGGCATTCATCTAAGGGAGATAACTGAATTGAGGATAAGAGATGGAAGAAGTCTTAGTAATGAATCCCTCCTGAGCCAGAAGCCTGTGAGTTCAGGATTTGGGTATTTTCAAGACAGAAATAAAAGAACAAAACCATAGAAGTCAGTGAACTCAGAAGCGTTATATACCATATGAAGGTCTTCAAAAAGCACTGAAACTGAACTTACCAACCCTGAGATGCCTCCCATTTTGTAATGACACCAATGCAAGAGCCTCTGTGATTGAGCTTACCGTTCTTAATGTCAGACAGTTTAGTTGGTTATAATGAAAATAATAGGATTTGGAAGAGAAAAAATGGATAGCACATAAAGCATTAATGGCAAAAGCAGATGGTACAGCCTGCCTTGATTTGAATTGTATTAAGTGAAGAAAAAGG